CAGAGCACCGCGGGGCCACCTCACCACCTGGACAGAGCACTGCGGGGCCATCTCACCACCTGGACAGAGCGCTGCTTGTCCCTTGAGAGGCGCAGGGCCGCATCCTGTGGGCCTGTCACTGAGCAGCCTGTCTCCTAAGACTTCTCTTTGTTCGTAACTCAACAAGCACATTCCAGAGGATCGGAGTCTGAGCCCCTCAGGGTGGCCCAACCTGGTGTAAATGGCAGAGTACAGAACTCTTTGGAGAAGAGTTAGAATGACAGACACCCCCCCAGGTGGTGGGTGTGCTGAGAAACAAAGCATCGTGTTCTGTGTAATAAAGGTTTCTATGATTTGTAGTGATGCTTTTGACTTTCATATAAACAGCAGACCAAAGGAATATTCTTCTATGGATTTTGTGTCTGAGAAATGTGTACACAACTAGCAATTTCTGAGGCTACACTACCAGATGCGCATAGAAGATCATCTCACAAACTGAGATTACAAAAAATTGAACTCTAAATAACTACAAACTCCATAGTGTTTGGAGCTGTCAAAGATCTGAGCAATTACAAACCTCTTTTATAGCTGATGAACAGAATGCTTTCAGGAATGATATGTTGAACGCAGAGATGCCCTGTGGGCCTAGTGGTTGTGCTTTGGGCTGAGGTTGCAAGGCCAGCAGTTTCGAAACCCCTGGTTGCTCCATGATAGAAAAGCGGGGTTTTACATTCCTGTTAACAGGGAGTCTTGGAAACTCACAGGGCAGTGCTACCCTTCCCTACAGGGTCGCTGTGCATCAGCATTGAGTCAAAGGCAGCGAGTGTGAGCGTCTCTGTGAACGCAGGGAGCCTGGTGACCCAGTGGTGACGCGCTGGGCTGCCAACCACAAGGTTAGCAGTTGGAAGGCAGCCACTTCATGGGAGAAGCACGAAGCTTTCTACTCCCGTAAAGGGGTACAGTCTTGGACACCCACAGGGGCAGCTCCCCGCTGTCTTATTTAGTCGCTGTGAGACAGAGTGGACTTCATGGTGGAGAGTTTGTTAGTTTGGTTTGAAAGTAGAACATAAAAAAGAAAAGGTACAGGGGGCAGATTCAACAGACTTGAATCGTTCGTGAAGTCACTAGGTGTAGGGTCAGTAGTGAACAGAGTTGGGGGTATGGTGACGATGCCGCGAAGGCCAACTTAGGAACTAATGCGGGGCACCCCAGGAGCCCTGGTGGTGCAGTGAGGTAAAGAGTGGGCAGCCAACCTCAAGGACATCAGTGCAAACCTACCCCTCCTTCCGCGGGAGAACGACGGAGGCATCTTCTCCCGGAAAGGTCTGTCGTCTAGGAAAGTGCACAGTCCTTCCGCGCTGTGTTTCACGGGCACTACGAGTTGGCGCCCACCCAGGGGCAGTAGGTGGGGAAGACACGATGGAAGAGAAGAGACGCTAACACCGGGCTAGCCAAGAGGGTTCATGCTTTTCTTATCTTACCTATTATTCGACTTGTAAGAATCTCTTTATCAGAAGAACCAATTTCTCTTCTAAGATAGTTTGTGGGAATTCTACCAGCTGCAGCAGCTTTCTGTTTATAGTCAACCTACAGTAGCAATGAGAAAACATCAAGCTCATGTGATTCATTAAAAAAAAAGCCTTTTATTGTGAGTGAGCT